GCATTTATCGTTCCTTAAAGATGATTGTTTTATCATTTCTTAGGGATAATAGTATTATCATATCTAAGGAATGAATGTTTTATCATACTTAAAAAATGATAGTATTATCATTCCTTAGGTATGGTGATTTTATCGTACCTAAGGAATAATAGTATTATTGTATCTTAAGTATAATTATTTTATCGTTCCTAAGGAAAGATGTATTTATCATTCCTTAGGTACGATAGTTTTATTATTCCTTAGAAACGATGGTATTATCATTTCTAAAGAATGATGTATTTATCATTTCTTAGATACGATAGTTTTATTGTACCTAAAGAATGATAATTTTATTATTCCTTAGGGACTATTGTTTTATCGTTTTTTAGAAACGATGGTATTATCATACCTAAGGAATAATAGTTTTATCATTCCTAAGGTATGATGCATTTATTATTCCTAAGGAATGATTATTTTATCATACTCAAGGAATAATGGTATTATCATTTTTTAGATACAATGGTTTTATTGTACCTAAAGAATGATAGTGTTATCATTCTTTAGGTATAATGATTTTATTGTTCCTAAAGTACAATAATATATTATTCCTTAGGTACAATAGTTTTATTATTCCTTAGAGATGATGGTTTTATTGTTCTTTAAGAATGATAATATTATTATTCCTTAGGTATGATGATTTTATCATTCCTAAGGAATGATGGTATTATCATTTCTTAAGGACAATAGTTTTATCATTCTTTAGAGACGATGGTATTATTGTACCTAAAGAATAATAGTTTTATCATTCCTAAAGTACAATGCATTTATCGTTCTTAAGGAATGATTATTTTATTATACCTAAAGAATGATAGTATTATTGTTTCTTAAATACAATAATTTTATTATTCTTAAAGTACGATAGTATTATTATTCTTTAGGTACAATAGTATAGCAGGCTTAAGTCTGATTGATTGATTTTTAAAATGATCTTCACATATTAAATTCATATAAAAAGATGATCATCAATCTTTAAATGGATTTGCAACTACGAGGATAAATTCGCAAGGGTTGCGATAAAAAATTTCTAAAGTATATCTTCTGTTTTATAAACTATCAAAGTAATTTAGTAAAAAGCAAGGTAATTCAGAACTTAGCTAATAAGGGTTTCTTTGCAATATGTTATTTTATATGTATAGATATAGAGAGAGAGAGAAAGAGATTGAAATTTGAATTATATATTGGTATATATTTTAAGATTTATTTTATTTATTTACACAAATAAAAGAGAAGGTTGGATTATTTATAATAAATAATAGATAATGTACAACTATTCTTTCATGTTTTAACTTTATTGATTTAAATTTTTTAAACCAAATAACTAATAATGAACTGTAATTTAGATAAATATCTAAATGTATTTTATATTAATATAATTTAATAAAAAAATATTTTAATATATTTTTCACATGTTAAAGATAATTTGATCCTTTTTATATAATATTTTCACATAATTATTAATGATTTCAGACTTAAAAAATTAAAAATTTTTTTTTAAATTTTTTATTAGAACGAATAGTCACATAAATGGTTATTAGCTAATCATATTAGTGTATAATTAACTAATCACAGAAAAAGCCCGTCATGCTGATTTTACTGATCTAACTTAAATTTTTTAAGTCAAATAAGTTAGATCAAAATAGATTACCTGATTTGACCTGATTTAAAGAAATATCAGTTTAGATTAATCAGATAATTTAAACTGATCTGATTTGTTTAGAACTCTAATATCAATCTTAATATATAAAATAATTTTATAAAATAAAAATAATAATATTTTTTAATAATAAAAATCTGTTTATATATTAAAAATTTTTTATTATTAAAAATAATAAGTTTATTATTACATAATAATAAATTATTATTTATATATTAAAATAATAAAATTGGTTTTATATATTAATAGTAATTTTTATTATTTTTAAATAATAAAAATCTAGTATATGATTATTAAATCTAAATATATGTGTAGAAAATATAAATTATAAATATTTATATTAATTAAAATTATTTATCTAAACCCATTTTTGATTTGAAAAAAATCTAAACCTTTAGTTTTGTTAATTTTTTACTAAAGATTTTAATATAAATTTGCTAATTTTATATTTTGATATAATTTTACTTTTTTGTAAATTTGTTAATAAAGTTTTAATAAAATTTTACTTAATTTTATCTTTTACCATTCAGATAACTTGCAAAATCTTTAAATTTTATTTAAAAACCTTAATACTAATAATATATAAAAAAAGTTATATGCAAATTTTACACAAAAAAATATATATAATTTTTACTAGTTATATATATATACATATATGATTATATTAATAAAATAAATAATTCTATTGCTTTATTAAACTAATATTAATATAATTTTATTTATTTAAAGATTTATTATTTAATTTATAATAATTTCTTTACTCTTATAATAAATAATTATGCATATATTTAAAATAAATTATTATGAAATTTCAGGAACCTGATTTTTCTAGCAATCAACCCAAATGTTCTAGTGTTAAATCTAATTGATTGTGATATTTAAATGATAAAATGAAAAGAAGCTTTAAATTCAAACTTTATATATTTACAAAGTTGACATAAAAAGATAGTTTTCTTTTTTTTTATGAGCAAGTTTGAATTTTTACAATTTTTGTTATTTCAGAAAGATTAACGAATTGTCAAATGAGAATAAGAATTATGGATAAATATCACTATTCCAAATTTGATAAACTTTTTCACTTAAAGATGTGCCAATCTTTCTTCTACGAACCATATTTCCACCAATTTCCATAAGCATTTTCTTTTTTGCTTCTTCGTTGTTCAAAGAATTATAAGCTTCAAATAAATGATGTGGCGTCGAATAAACCTTTGCAATCTCCGCGGCCTTTTCGACACTTATTCCTCTAACAGTCATTAATAACTTTACAAAAGTATCTTTCAATGTCAAACTCCTACTTTTACTATTAAGTTCAGAATATGAAGCATATGAGACATGGAACGTACGATTTGCATAAATAGTGGCAAGATGTTGTTTCAAATCCAAGAAGTTTTTACGATAAATAGCACCATCTGGAATAGAATACAAGGTGGTATTCTAGAAAAATACATTATAAAAGGTATTGAAATTTATGTAATAGATGAATTTGACGGAAGAATAAAATAAAATCGAGCAATATTAACCTCATATAATTTCTTAAGCATATTTGTCATCCTGACCAGGTAATCGATACTTTGATCGATTGTGCTCGTACGTTTTAAAAAGAAACCATTCAGTACTTGAGTAGATGACATCGCAGATTTAATAGCATCCATTCCAAATTCTGCAACTTCCTTCATATTATAATCTTCAATTAGATAAATTATTTGCCCCATACCAGATCTTGATAGACGAAATTTTTGTTCTCTGAATCGTCCATCTTTTATACTACCAACCAAGTCGTCCATCCTTTTCCTTTCTATAACATAGTCTAAGACAAGTTCTTGCTGTGACAAACCGTTACACTTTCGTGCCACCCAAATTACATCACCAAGTTCCAAATTTCTAACTGATATTTCTAGACCTTTTTGTTGTAAGGAGTCTTGAATATAATCTCGATCCTTTTTTAATTTCACTTCCCTATTATCTAAAACTAAAATTACTTCAAAAGTGCCAGGTGCCCATTCTATTGGCTTGAGGTTAGAAAACGCATTTAATTCGTTATTAGATAATGATGTTGAAGTTGATGGTTCTATTATTGATTGATTTTTATATTGGTAACTGATACCAATTTGAACAGGATCATCCACCAAATTTATAATTGTTTTCGAATTAGAAAAATTTTCATTTGTGGAAAGTGATAATTCACGATCAATACACTTTTTAGCTTCAAGTTGATCAAAATCAAAACCTGGGAAGATTAATTTGCCTTGTGATTTGACGGTCTGTATCATTTGTTTTGCGATCTTGAGCCCAGATTCGGTTAATGAAAATCTTACAGGATAACCATTTTTGTAAACATAATCCTTATCCAATAAAGTTTTCATACAATTCCAAGCTGTATAATATTTTTGATTGGCAATTGGCATATCAAAAGAAGCATCACAATAATTTTGTGCCTCCTTTATGAGTTCTGATTTTGTCACTGAAGGTGTTGACTCTAATTCACAATATTTGTAAAGTGCCAACATAATGGCGTAAGCTCCGGAGCGATATTGTGGAACGTATGTTTTAGATGTGGTTATTTTCTTTTGATTTTTCGATTCATTTTCAATAGAAGTGAATTCTTTTGTTCCCTCATCTATTATTAGATGTAGGAAAGAAAATAAATTTGAAAAACCAATTCAGAATTATTGATCTTACAATTAATATGGTTTTCATTAACATTTACAAATTACCAGGTCGCGAAGGCATGGGTTGGCTATTTTCTTTACAATGCTGATTTAGTTTTCTTTCTAATTTTTGTATTAATGTAGGTCCAATACCATTCAAAATGGTAGCTTCAGCCGGATGTTGAAAAGGTATAGGATATTTCTCCACTGACTCATATGCCTATATAATTAACGAAGAATAAACAAGGGATATTCTGAACGATACATGAAATTCCAAGAATTTCGAAACCTTCTTATAGACGTAATAACTTTTATTATTTTTGGCGGCCTTAGCCTCTTGCATCCACTCTTTTAACCATTCTGAATATAAAGGATTTCCGCAAGGAGGTACTGTATGTTTTGGTGGCATTGAAAATTTCGAAACGCGCACGTAATAAAAATAGAGTGTTACTTTTCAGTTAGTTTGATTGTTAATGAGATTTCTATTGGCAGATCAAAAGTAAACAAAATAGGCTGATTTAGCCCAATCGTATGACTAAAGATATCATCCGATAATTATCGCATGAGAAGTTAAATTTTAAAAAAGAAATAAAAAAGCAATGTTTTTTATCAATAAATTTTTATCGTTATATAATAAAAAAAAAAAAAATATTAAAATGATGGAAAACGAACATTTACCTGAAATCAAAAAAAGTGATAATAAAGATAATGTAAAGAAAGAAAGTACATCAACTCAAGAATTACAACTTCCTCATGTTTTCAAATTATATCTTGTGGATATAGAAAAAGTGAGTCACATTTTTTTTTTTTTAAAAAAAAAAATTTATTTTCCTTCTATTCACATAATAATCCCTTTTTCAATTAGTCATTAATTCAAGCATGGGAGGAAGAATTAACAAAAATTTCAGAAAAATTCACACCAACGAATTCAACTAAACGTTTAACGGTACAAGTTTGTAATAGTACATTTCAAACATTATTACAAACAAATCAGGTTGATTGTATGGTATCGCCAGCAAATTCATTTGGATTAATGGATGGAGGATTAGATTATTATATAACCGAATATTATGGTGGAGTCGATGAATTGATTCCCGTTGTACAAAAAGAAATTGAAAAGGAATGGTGTGGGGAACAAAATGTTGGTACTTGTACGCTAGTTGATTTACGTGATTTAATTAAAAAATTAAAAGAAAATCATCCAGATTTGTCAAAACAGGACAAGTTTCCAGGTTATTTGGCCCATTGCCCAACCATGAGAACTCCAAAATCATTAGATTCTCATGATGATATTGTTTACAGATGTACTTGGGCCATGTTAACTTCCATTCGTAAACATAATGCGAACGTATTGGAAAATCCTAATGGAAATCATGAACGTATAAATAGTGTTATTTGTGCTGGATTTGGTACTGGAGTTGGCGGTTTTTCGGAAATTACTTGTGCTAAACAAATGATGTTGGCTATAAAGCATTTTGTTGAAGCTCCTGTAAATAATGAAACTAAGAGAATTAATGATCATGAAGGTTGGGGTGGTAATTGGCTAATACAATGGTCCTATGCAAGAAAAATTGAAAGTTCTGTAAATTCTGCTCAATTTCGTAAAGGTCATTATTAAAAAAAAAAATAAAGTGCTAGTTGCTTAATTCGGAATTATAAAGATTTCACATCTTCTAAAATGTCACACGCAAATTAAAAATTGACTAACCAAAAACGGTTTCTAATTTCATTTTATTAAATATATATATTTTTTTTAATATATAATTTAAAAATATGGATTCTTCAGAACAATCAATTCAGCAGGAACAAACCTCGGGGAAAATTAGTAAGGAAGCGATAGCATATAAATTTTGGCAAAAATTTCAAAAGGAGCGTGAAGGTATAATAATAATAATAATAATAATACCTTTTCCACTTGAAAAAAAGTTTTTTTTTTTTTTTTTTAATATAAAATTTAAATAATTTAGAAATTCAAAATTCAATCAACGATCTCTATACAAAATCCAAATCATCAATTCCAAAATTATGTGAAGAAATCCTAGTTAGAATTAATACATTAGAAAGAAAAGCTACTGATGCTACAATTTATTTGCCTGGTTATGATCAAAGACAATTAATTTTGGTATGTAATAAGGAAGAATTTTGTTTTTTTTTTATTTGGATACTTATTTATTTGTTATTATTATTTAGCAAATTAGAGCATTGGTTATAGAACTAAATACGAAAAAGACAGAAATAGTACCAAAAAGTAAATTTACGTTTAAATCAAGGAAACCTGTTTTTACAAACGGAAGTGGAGAGAAAGCAACCAAAACGGAAGAGAGAAATACTTCAACTACGATAACTTCCAACAACACCTCTTCAATTATCAACGAAAATTTTCAAATAGTCACATTAAACAATAAGCAAAATGCTTACTTAACAATAAATTCTTATTTGTCCTCTCCAAATGATTCAAAAAAAATAATCGATTTTCATATTTCAAATTTACAAAGTTGTTTTATTAATCTCGTATGTAAAAATGTTATTATAGGTGCTATACATATTAAAGGTTTAAAAGATTGTGTAATTATTGCCGGTCCTGTTGGAAGTTCGATTTTAATTAATGATTGTGAAAATTGTGTTCTTGTTGTCGCTTGTCATCAGGTAAATAATACTAGATTTATATCTTTCGTAATTTTTTTTTTTATTCAGTCATTCAGAAAATTTATAACTAACATAATTAAATTAAAAGTTTCGAATACATACTTCAAAACAAATGAATGTATATCTTCATGTAACAAGTTATCCCATTATTGAAGATTGTAATAGCATAAAATTTGCTCCGTACACTTTATCAATTCCTGGTTTAGATAAAATGTTTGAGGTAAATGTTTTAAATCAATTTTTCGAAAATATTTTAAAATTAATGTTTATTAATCCTTTTGAAATTATTATTACACTCGATAGGCTGCTAAATTGGATCAAAATAATAATAAATATGATAAAGTTGAAGATTTTAATTGGTTAAGGCAACAAGCATCACCAAATTGGAATTTATTAGATGAAAAATGTTTAAGAAAAGATTGGCCTTTAATAGGTGATGATGAAAGAGAGAGAGTTGTTAGTGAAGATGAATTAAAGATTACTTTAAATGAAATTTTGGAAAATAAATAATGTGTTTAATCTAAAATATTAATTTTTAATAATAAAGCAATTTCCTTGTAATATTAAAAGTAATTTAGATTTAAAAAATTCAATTTATTTTACCTAAATCATTAAATTAGCATTTTTTAATTTTTTTTTTTTTTTAAAATTATTTTATTTATTAATCAAATCAGATCATAGTTATAAGTTAAAATCCTATAATTAATATTAATATATAAAAAATATATATATATTTAGATAGAATTATTAATTATTATATTTATTATATTATAATATTTTTTATTAGTTTTTAAATTTAATTAAATTTCCTTGCATTACATAATAAGAAATTTATTATTAACTGTTAATCAGTTACAAATTTAACTTTAACAAATTATACATAATTTTTGATGGATTCACCTTGATATTTCATTAAAATATTAATCATGTTTCGCAACACCATATTGTATAAATGGATTGAATTATTGCCTGCTTGTACCATAAACAAGCAAACTGTCAATAAACCCGATGTATTATATTGAAAAACAATAGGTGGATAGCCACTGCGGATAAGATGATATACCATAATTGAACGACCAACACGCCCATTACCATCAATAAATGGATGAATATGAAGAAAGATTGAAAATACACGTGATGCAATAATAAGAGGGTGAAGATTATTATTATTGATGTATTCATCATGAAATTGTATAAACCTTTTCATCAATGGAGGCACTTCTTCTGGGTACTACAAAAAGCACGAAATAAGAATTTCGATAGAATCTCACCAGAATAAACTAGAACTTACCAGATAAACAGTCTTGTGTATATCATCTGCCACTATTCCTGCTTTCCAAAATTCTTCTATATTTTGAATGTTATCGTCTTCAAATCCATATGTCTCCACCGGTATATCACTTAACATGATTTATGAACATCTTTTATATCATCAAGGTTAATTTCACACTCTAATTTAACAAATTATTAATAAAATAAGTTGCAAGCAGGTGGTTTCGAATTTCTATGACTTCATTTTCTGGCTTGTAAAAAAGAGATTTCGGTGCAAGTAACGGCACTTCTCGATTTTTCAGAAAGCGATCCAAGTCATAGTTTTTGTTCAACAACTTTCAAATTTCTCACGTTTCTACTAGTGTCAACTTGTTCCCTTCTATAACACAACTTGAGTGTGAAAAATTCGCCGTATTATGTTATAAAATGTTCACGTGTGGTATCTTTATGGATGCTTTAAGATTGTCGATTCTTTCTAACAAATCTTTTAATCTTACTTGGTAGTCTTTTAATAAGAAAATATATTAGCATTTCGAGGTAAAATTTGCAAGGACATAAAATTCACAAATCATACTATAATCCCGTACTATAAACTCAAACGGACGAAAATAATTCTCCCATAGCTTCCCAGATTTAAGCAGTTCAGTCAATTCTGGACCTTTATTAAATTCATAAAGAGGAACGTAAATCTGTAAATGAAATGAATAAAGAAACTTTGCTGAAACTTTATATTTTAAAACACGTGATTATCACATGTTCATTACATTATTTTTTTATCATCATTTGCATTGTTAACAGGCATTATACAATGCATTGTAAAAGTACAATTATTTGTGATCACTTTATTGTTTAAATCAATGTAATTATATTTGTAAATTTATTAATTCATTATTATAAAAACATTGTAAAACCATTAATATCATATTTATACATTATTGTAAAATTATTGTACAAACGTTATAAAAATATTAATATTTAAATTGTTGTGTAATAAAATTCATTTTTAAAATATTGATTATTTGATAAATCATGTGAAGAAGCTATACACGTAGAGTGACAACGACGTACAAAATGATTTTTTGGAAGATTGTCTATAAGAGTTATTAGATAGACCTGATACCACTGTGTGTTATTAGCCATTTGTACTTCATAAACTGGACATTGAAGAATTGGATCAAGTATTAAGCTCTTCCGCAACCAATCAACCCAAATAAATGCATATACTAAGCCATCATTATACTTATGTGTGAATAATGCCTTTATTATAGCGTAAGAAATGTCATTCTCTTCTTGCATCTGTACTATATCACCAGCATGTATATCTAAATCCATGTTAAATTTGCCATCATTGTCTATAAGGGTATAACTTATTTGTTTGTAAAATTCCACGCGTCTGTGTATTAAAGCTACCTTTTTTTGCATATAAATATCATATGCGCTTATGGTATCATGGGTAAATTGAAGATTTCCATCAAGTTGTACAGGTAAAGCAAGTTTATAGATTTCATCTCCAGATAAACGTTTTCGTGCTTTGATATTTATTATTTTATCATCATGTGATGAAATATTTGTACCTATTATAATAAAAAATCATTGTTAAATTTGTTATGTTGAAAATAATAAAGATCATAGATTGAATATCGTAAAGAATGTAAACTGATGACTTTAAAAAAAGAGAATAAAAACAAGTTAGAATAAAATAGACAAAACTAAAGAAAATAATAAAAAGATATAACCCTTCCATCGTAAAGATAACTAACCAAAATTCTAATTGAATTGTTTGATTTAATGATATAATCTAATATTTACAACTGATTGTCATAAGAGTTATATTAAATTCAATTAATATGTCATTACCAAAACTGGTTTCGGCATTATTTAGTTTCAATTTTGAAAAATATCAAAACTTCCGAGATCGACAAGTATCACAGAAAATGATTACACTTACTAATAATAATTGTATCTTCCTTTTGAATATTTTGAGTCATATACCAATCAGATAATATAGGTTGAAGCAATGGATCTGTATTGAAACTTTGAAAGCCCTATCCAATATTCAAAAATCAATTGTCTTTACCTCCATCAATTAAATAACGTATCATTTGAAGTGTATTATGCTGATGAATCAAATCAAATTCAATATTCTTTCGATTCATTTTAGAAACTGAACCTTTGAATGTTTGATGTACCATTTCTTTTACTCCCACAGAAATATTCACAAGTGTTCCAAAGTTGCAAGCGTTATGAACATGATGTTGGTTTATATGTAGATTCGATAAATTCCTAAAATCATTTGGAAAAAGCTAAAAATATAATATAAATAATATTAGAGTTATTTTTCTCTTTTAATCATTATAAAAAATTATATTGATTCGTTAGACTTCGATTCATGAGAATTATAATAGTTTCCAATTTAAAAATATTACCTTTAATAAACGATTATGTTCAATTCTCAAAGTCTCTTCTAATTCTTTATATATTTGTTCGGTAAAAGTGAAACTAAAGCTTAAACAAGATGCTTTAGTAATAGCTACCTAACACGAAATAATTGCATTCACAATTTGTATAGATGATGGTGTCTTTAGGCGTGAGTTTATCGATATTATAAGTTACCTTTGAAGTAAAACTAGATCATTATCTTTGATATGTGAAATTGTTAAAAATCGCTATAACAAGAACGGCATTATCATCACCAATCGCAAATAATCAGAAAATATGAAGCTATTACGGTGCTTGATTGGATTGGAAAGACAGTGCCAACTAGATGATGTTTCAAAACTTCTCTAATAATTTAAAAAGATAGATTCCCCTCTTGAATTTAATATTAATAAAGTACAATCTATTAATCTTTGTACTTTTCCAGCAATAGCATGGTATGCGTCTTGGAGAGTCTGTAAATGCTGATCTCATGTCAGCTGATTCAAAATACTAAGACGTGTTCTTAACCCATATTCAGTACAATAGTTATTGATTGTTTTTTGCGATGCTCTTTCTTGAACTAATTCCTTTAATTTGTTAATTTTCTTATCTGTGAGATGGCTATATCTTGCATTTAATTTAATATCAAAAGTAAGGTCACTTAATTGTTCTTTAGGTACTAAACAACTCCTACACCCTTGGTTACCACCATGTCGTTTTGTATCTGCAAGATAATTCCCTTGGGGTAGATCGGCAATTATAACACCTAAAGTAGCAATGACCCATATATCTCGACCATTAATATTCATCGTAATACCTTTTTCTAAATTTTTGATTTCATTCACAATTGGTTCCATTACGTTATCAAATTCCCCTCCAAATGGAACAAAACCCAGAACAAAATGGTTCTTTAATTGTTTTCGTAACTGCAAAGGCATATTACAAAATTGAAGGTAAATCCGCCCAGAGAGTGATAAACATTGCGAAAAGTTCTAAAGTCATCGTAATAAATATCTAACATTAGTTTTAAGATGGATGTTCCTTGAGGTATCATATTCATATTACAGGTATATTCACTTGGATGTTGATGCCGAAATTCAACTTTTCTAATCTTTCATCGACCCTCATAACTGTATATAATTTCACTAACATAAATTGATAACTATTAACAGGTTGTGAAGTGTCTTGAAGCCAGACATTGATTAGTTCAATAATGTTTTGTAGGTCAATCAAACATGATATTTTACTTAACCATAGTTCTCCATTCTGAGCTCATTCCAACCTTGTTGAATTTACAAAAATCTTTGGTAATTCAGAACCATAATAAAGAGGTTGGACCTTCAATTCAATACCACCAAAAGTTGATACTATCATTAGAATCCTTCCAATTCTTGTTCTTTTGTCTTTATATTTAATAAAAGATCCTGTTTTATATAACACTAAATAGAATT